GGGACCTGAACTCTGAGCCTGGGCACTATCCCTCAGCTCTTCAGCTCAAGGCTAGCACTCTACCACTTGAGCCACAGCGCCACTTCCAGATTTTTTTCTCTTTTTGGTTATGTGGTGCTGAGGAATCGAACCCAGGGCCTCATTCATGCAAGGCAAGCGCTCTACCACTGAGCCACCTTCCCAGCCCTGTGAGACTCTTATCTCCAATTTACCACCAGAAAACTGGAAGTGGAGGTGTGTTTCAAAGCAGAAAATCTCAAGGACAGTGCCCAGGCCCTGAGTTCAAGCTATACAACCACCAACAACAACAAAAATCGGATGGTAGGCCACATCTGTAGCCTACTGTTCTCAGGTAGTCCTTCCTTAGTTTCCAAACTCTTGCCAACTCACCATTCAGTGAAGGATGACAGTAAATATTAAAGCTTGCAGGCCATATCATCTGTTACAGGTATCCAACCCTGCTGTTGTAAAAGATCAGGAAGATACATCAATAAATAGGTATGAATGTGTTCCAATAAAATTTTGTCTGCAAAAAAAAGTAAAAAAAAAAAAAAAGGATCCTCAGACAAACACAAGAAAAGATGGTCACTGTCTCTACCCATTTGTTAGACAAAAGCAAATTAAAAATGGAGATGAGCTGGGTGCCAGTGTGGTGGCTCATGCCTGTCATCTAGCTACTCAGGACGCTGAGAGCTGAGGATCGCAGTTCAAAGCCAGCTCAGGCAGGAAAATCTGTGAGACTTATCTCCAATTAACCAGCAAAGAGCCAGAAGTGGAGCTATATCTCAAGGGGCAGAGCACTAACCTTGAGTGATAAATCTAAGAGACAGTACCCAGGCCCTGGGTTCAAGCCTCAGGACTGACATACACAGAAATTTAAAAAAAAAATGAGAGTGAGAGGGACAGAGAAAGACACACAGAAAGAGTCAGAGAGGGAAGAAAGAAGGAAAGGAGGGAGGGAGGGAGGGAGGGAAGGAAGGGAGGGAGGAAGAAAGGAAGGAAGGAAGGAAGGAAAATGAAAGAAAATAGAAACACCATGAGATGCGCCCATGCACCTATCAGGATGACTAAAATAGAAACCCGTGACATCAGATGCTGGAGAGGAAGGGGAAGCCGGGTCCCTCACACATTGTGCGTGGGAACCTAAAGCAGTTCAGCTACTCGGAAACCAGTTTGGCAGTGTCTTAGAAAATGAAACAAGTGATTACCATATGACCTAACCATCGTATTCCTAGGCATTTATCCCAGAAAAGTGAAAACTTATGTTCACACAAAACCCTGTAAACAAATGTTCATAGTAGCTTTCGTTTCTCATAGTCCCAAACTGGAATCAACCCAGATATTCTTCAGTGGATGAATGTTTCAACAAATGATGGTACATCCAGACCATGGGGTCAGTAGCTCTACTGTGGCGGTAGATAAAAGGAACCTACACACACACACACACACACACACACACACACACACACACCTGTCACTGAAACCTGAATAAGATCAGCGAGTTGTATCAATATCATGGTGATGATGCTATTCTATAAGAATCTATTATCTGAGCATGAACTCAGGATCTTATGCTTTCACTGGGCTTTTCTACTCAAGACTGGCATTATATACCACTTGAGCCACAGCTCCACTTCTTTATGCTGACTTTATGCTGGTTAGGTGGAGATTAAGACTCTCACAGATATGTCTGTCCAGTCTGACTTTGAATGACAAGCCATTGCTAGGGTTACAGGCATGAGCCACCAACCAATGTCCTGATAATATTTTTTAAAGAAAAACATACAGGTTTCAGCTTGCCAATTTCTTGTCTTCGGTGATCACCACGAGGTGGAAACCAGTGGTTTAGTGCTAGGGTTTGAACTCAGGGCATTGACTTGGTTAAGTTGGAGTTCTACCATTAAACCACACCGTAAGTCCTATTTCTAGCGCTCTACCACTTGAGCCACAACACCACTTCCCGCTTTTTCTGACTAGTTCATTGGAGATAGTCTCACAGACTTTCCTGCTTGGGCTGGCTTTGAACCACAATCCTAAAATCTCAGCTTCCTGAATAGCTAGGATTACAGGTATGAGCCACCAGTGCCCGGCTCCTCCAGTTCTTACTGTTTAACGCAAAGCCAAGCTCTGTTAGGAGGTAGAGTGCCAAGATGAAAGAGAAGGGTAGAAATGATGTCTTCCCGGGGGTATGTCTGTGCCTGATGCTCTTTCTCTGTCATATTCTGTTCCTTTTTTTCCTCTTTCCTTTTTTTTCTCTTCCTTCCTTCCCTTGTTTTCTTTCTTTTTTCCTTTCTTTCTCTCTCCCTCCTTCTTTCTTCCTCTCTTCCTTCCTTCTTTTCTCTCCTTTCTCCCCCACCCTTTCTCTGTGCCAGGACTGGGGTTTGAACTCTAAGCTTAGCCTGGCAGTTATCTCTTAGCTTT